GGAGGACATTGCTTCACTGGCCCAAGTTGGCACCATCATTGCGCTCTTCTCTGGCGAGGCAGATCAGTCGCCGGCTTCTGGACGGCCGCTCACTGCGGCCGACTTGTAGGAATTTTTATAGAGCACTAGTCTTAGTGCCTGTGTCACTGTCCTACCAGAGTGAAGTTGTTTTTTTAATCTGACAACTTGGTAGTCAAAGTCTGTGGTTTTAATATACTAGCTTTGTTTCTTCTATCTTTGCAATGTAGAAAGTAATTTTTCAGTACTAGCTAAACAAGGTGAAAGGAGAGCTGCGCCCTTTGAGCAATACTTAACAGTTAACAAAAGCTAAGGACCAGCAAAGAAGCTTGGAATATGTTGTGGACTACGGGCTTTGTATTCACCAACCCAATTTCTATTCCCCAGAAGCTAGTCTGCAATACTGTATGAAAGGAGCAATGAGTGAATCAGCTGGTGCTACAACGACGCTAGTCAACTTTTCCCGGGTTCCCCACCCGCTCCTTGGAGGCGGGGCCGCACTCCCCGGAAGGTCCCAGCCGCCCCGCCTTCCCCCTTCCGTTTCGCAGTTGCTAGGCTACCGGGACCCTAGCCGAAAGCCGCGGAGCGCCGCTGCGGCGCTGTGCGTGTCTTCTGCCCGATGTGCTGCTGGGCTTCTGTACCTGCTATGTTATGGCCTCCCGCCTTGTCCAGGCTTTTCTGCTCCTCTAGCCGCTGCGCCCACACCTGCCCGGGACGGACTGGAGCGCGGAAGCAGTCGTATCCTTTCTGCTCTTCTAGGAAATCGGCACCCCTCTCCCACCCTTCCGGAAACCCCTTCACCACCTTTCCCCAGACCAGGAAGCCCTGAACCCCTGAATTTGGTTTTCAGAGCCCACGCTCCGGGCCCTGACCTTTCTTTTCCATCTACACTGAGACAACTCGCCGGATCTCTCCATGCCCGTTTTTCTCACTTTCCTGCGGCGTCCTAGTGGGGGGCATCTCCCTCGTCAGGGAGAGGGAAGCATGGGGCCTGCAAAGGCCCTGGCGCCTCGGGAGGAGGAGACTGGAAGACTTGCGGCCCTTCCTAATTCCTCAGGTGCGCCTCCGGGCCTCAAAGTGGGAACCGCCAGCCGGGACCTCGTTTGCTGAGCAGAGGCTGAGTTGGCAGAGAAGAGGGACCGATGTGGCAGGGTTTCCTAAAAGAGCGTGGGAGCTGCGGAAGTGGAGGGTGAGAGTAGTGAATGTCGGCGTTTTTTTCAGTAGTCCTGTTCTGGTTTTTTAACTTCTGTGTAATCAGCCGCCCTCTTGGAAATCGGGCAGGGGTTGTGGCTGGATGCCGGTGTCACGGAAGGTCTTCGGTGTACCATACAGAAGTAACATGTTCCCAGCATTGAAAACAGAGCTAAAGCAGGAGGTGGGTAGCCACCCCGCTCCAGGAACTCCACAGGTCCAGTACTAAATCAGGGGGTATAGTCTGGTAGCACCTCTTTCTAGCTGGAGAGCTTGGCCCCTAAGAATAATTTGCATGAATGTCTTTCACTTGTTTTGTTTACAGGTACACTGTCCTCTGCAACAATGCTTATATACCTTTTGTTAAGAGTTCAGTGTTATTTGAAAGGACTTTCCTGACTGAGGTGGCCTTTCCTTTCACAGATTCTTGCTGATCCCTATGAAGACTTTATGTACCATCACCTCCGGTACTATGGCTACTTTCAAGGTAATAGCTCGTTATCATCTAGCATCACCTTTCCTGGGTTCGTGAAGTAAATTGTTTGATTAACTGGGAGAGTTATGCTTGGATAAACTATTGATGAATTTTTCCAGCACCGTTGGTGAAAAGTACTTCCTTTCCCCATTGATCTGCTATGTCACCTCTGTTGCGTGTACATAGATACAAGGGTCTTTTTGTCTGTCCTTGCACTAAGACGAGTACCACCCTTTGTTAGTTACACTATATGGCGTGAAAATAGTCTTGCTATCTAGAAAAACTAGATGTCCTCCAATCTTGTTCTTCAAAAGTGTCTTGGCTATTCTTGACTTTTTGTATAATTTTAGAATTGGCTTGTGATGTTTAAAAAAATTTTTTGAGGGCCTGCCGAGTGGCTCAGTTGGTTAAGAGTTAGCTTAACAGCGCAAGCTCTGAGCCACAGGGCCACCGGTTCAATTCCTACATGGGCCAGTGACGCTGCCACTGAGCTGCCAACAGGTGGCAGGATGGCTCAGCTGGTGAGAGCATATGCTCCTAACAAGATTGCCTAGTCAGCAGTGGCCTACGCGCTCCCCCCCCCCAACTAAGACTGAACTTGGCACCTTGAGCTGAGCTGCTGCCCAGGTGGCTCAGTGGATAGAGTGTGCACTCTTAACAAGGCTGCTGGTTCGACTCCCGCGTGGGATGGTGGCTACGCCCACCTGCAACTAAGACTGAACACAGCACCTTGAGCTTAGAGGCTATGAGCTGCTGACAAGGCAGCCAGATGGCAACTGGCACCCTCCACAACTAAGACTGAAGAGCAGCAATTTGGCTGTTCCCCTCCCCCAACTCCCCAATTTTAAAAAAGAATATATTGAGATTGCATTGAATCTATAGAACTTAATTTCACAAAAATTGAGAATTTGCCAATAGTGGGTTCTCCAATCTATGAATATAGTATGTAATTCTCCATTTTATTTAGGTCTTCCTGAATGTCACCCAATAAAGGTTCGTACTTTTATTCATAGAACTTCATATTTTTATGCTATTATAAATGGTTTCTTTTTTAAAAGATTTTATTGGGAAATCAGGGAAGGGGAACAGACAAGTTGCTGTCCTTTTGTTCTTCAGTCTAGTTGTGGAGGACGTTGCTTCACTGGCCCAAGTTGGCATCATCATTGCGCTCTTCCCAGGTGAGGCATATCAGTCGCCAGCCACTGGACGGCCGCTCACGGTGGCTCTTGGCAGTTCACGCTGGCTGCCGACCACTCACGGTAGCTTATGGCAGCCCAGCCTACGCCGCTGTCGCCAGCAACTCATGGCAGGCCAGCTCCAGGTTGAGCTGTTGCTCACCATCTTAGCTGTAGAGGGCGCAGTGTCACTGGCCCTCATGTGGGATCCGAACTGGAGCCCTGCTGCTCAGAGCTGGCGTCCCAAGCCAACTCTTAACCAACATGCCAGTCGGCTGGCCCATAAATGGTTTCTTTATAAATTTTGATTTTCTAACTTTGTTCCTGGTATTTAGAAATACAATTTTTATATTGATTTTATTTCTAACCATCTTATTAGACTTTCTTATTAACTATTTCATTTTTTAAGTGATTACTCATTTGTTGAAAGTTGTATTTCCAGTTTGCCAGAGTCCGCAGAGCCCTCAGGACAAAGCAGCTTTGGGCATCAGGGCTCCCCTCCCACTCCGAGTACCAGCCTTCACATGGCTGTGGCTTTCTTGGCTGCTTTTGTATCTACTATGCTGCTATACCATGTTGCTTCTCAAGTCTTCTCCTCCCTATAAAATGGAGAAAATGATCTTTAACCCAAGTAAATTGGAATGTGAAAGTCCTCTGGAAAATGGGATGTATTCATTGTAAAGGCCTGTGGTAGTGGGGGTTTGGTAGCAGTGGTTTTGGTATTGACCTAGATGTTAGAGGTGATGAACTAGCCTTCCAGCACCTTTAATTAAATTTCCTGTTCTTAGCTCAAAGAGACAGTTTACCAAACTCGGCTACGCACCAGCTTGCTTGGAAGAATAATCCCCAACTTGTCTTGAATGGCTTTTTTGGGGAAAGAGGTGATTTGATACCAGACCCTCCACAAAAGGAGAAGCTCCTGTGTGAGTAATAATCAGTGTGTATGACACCCCCTCCCCCAACCTCCAACCCCAGAACCTCGCTGCCTTGAGCAACTGCTCCAGGTTTTCAGGAGAAAGTGGCCTGATGGAGGAGAAGCCAGAGGAGCAGCCTTAGCTACTATTTCTGACGTCATTCAAAAAAATGTTCTCCAAAGCAAAAAGTTCTCCCTAGATCTACTTTGGATTGTAGGTTTAAATTAAAAGACTGTACATGCTGTATGGAAAATACTTATCTTCCTCCTAACTATTAGAAAATTTGTTAAGACTCTTTAGTCAAGGGTAAAACATTGACTTTTCACAAAGTTTTGAAAGATATATTTGCTAAGGCTCTGCATAAGAGTGATGGAAACCAATTCTAGCTAGCTTAAGCAAAAGTAATTTTTCACAGGGATTCCACAGGTGTCTTCTAGAATCTAAGGGCAGGAATGCAGCTGAATTTCTCCCTCAGTACATACTTATTCAGCCAAACATCAGTTTCTCTTTGCTTCACATCCTCCCCATGCCAATGCATTTAGCACACAGCAATTGTTTTGTAATTTGCAAATCTGATTGTGTCCTTTTACTAGTTAAAACTTTTGAATGACAAAGACTCAAAAGCCATAAAACATAACATTGATCATTTTTACAGCAAAAATTTAAACTTCTGTATTAAAAAAGGTGCCATCAATAAAGGCAAAATAACAAACTGAAAATAAATATAATAACAAATATATCAAAGGATTAATTTCCTTAAAATAACAGCTCTTACAAATCAATATGTAAAAGATGACCAAATAGAAAAATGGGCAAAAGACATGAACAAGCAGTTAATAGAAAAACAAACCCGGGACGGTCAATAAGGTTTATGACAAGATGCTCAAGTTCACCTCTAATTAAAGATACAAATCAAAATGTCAAGGTATCATTTTTTAAATTATGAGATCTGGGCAAAAAAATTTTTTTAAATTGTACCTAGAGTCGGTATGAGGGAACACTCTGGTACACTGCTGTTAGAAACGTGGATAGGTAGACTATTTTAGGAAGGCAACTTGGCAATACCTAGGAAATTTAAAACAGTACTTAACCCTTGATGTAGCAAGTCCATTTTCTGATATGTATCTTACATGTTTGCTCACCCCAGTGCCTGGAAGGCTCTACCCATTCTGTGTCCCAGATCCCCTGGCAGCGAGTAGAAAGGCAAGGTTTGAATAAAGGGCGTTTGATCAGGGTGGGATGACTCAGGCTCCAGCTGACCACCCCTCCTTCAGTTCCCACCTGCCCTGTTTGCTGACAGTCAAAATAACATTAATAAGAACCAATTGCCAGTCTTAATATAATTTTTTTAAAAAAAAGGGAACTGCAAAATCAGCTTGTGAAACTAACACAACATGAATGAGTTTTAGACTGTAATTAATCATTATTTTCCTATTTTGACCATTGGAGTGAAAAAAATATTTTTTGTCTTCATAGCAAAGCATTTATTATGTGTTTTTTTTGTAACCAGAAAAGTACAAAGGCAAGAAGGAATGAGTTATATTCAAATGATAGAAAAAAACACAAAAAGACAACGAAAAGCTCTCCCTACTCTCCCTCCATATAGCCGCTGTTGTTATCATTCTTTGCAGGAAAAAACAAAAAATCCTCATGTGTGTATATGTATTTTTTTCTTTAATTGCTCACAGGGGATCCTATACACAATCTTTACTTTGATTTTTTTGTGTGTGATAATAGAACCTTTCAAATGAGCACCAAAAAAAAATCTACCTCATTCCTTTTAAGGGAACCTATAGTATTGCATCTCATTAATATGTCATAATTATTTTAACTTCCCTTTTGATGGATGCTTTGGTGGTTTACATATTTTTTGTTATTTGAACAGTGTTGCAGTGAGCATCTTGGTATATGTATTTTGACAAACTTTTGTGAGAAAAATCTATAAGGTAAATTCTCAGCAGTGGGATTCCTGGATCAAGGGTCTGTGTATGTTAGATCTTACCAGGTACTGCCGAACTCCTTTCCAGAATCGTTGCCCCAATTTGCCTTCTTGCCAGCAGTTTCTGAGAGTACCTGCTCACTTACACCTTTGCCAGGATGAGTGTGAAAATATGTACATGTTTTTCCTATCATATAAAAACCTGGTATCTCCTTGTCATATTGATTTACATTTCTTTATGAGTGAGATTGAGCACCTTTACCATATTTTCACCGTATTTTCAAATGTGTGTTTGCCTGTCTCCCCTCACCCCAATCAAACAGTGGGGAAAAGATTTAGAGATAGATATACGGGGGCCCAAAGTGGGAGTGGTGGGTGGAAAGGGATAAGGGAAGGAGGGCAGGAAAGAGAAAGACAAAGATTTCTACGGCGTGCCTTCTTCCTCTTTCTAGGGCCTACCTGTCTATCTTCAACTCTACCCAGACAGATAGAAGCTGTGAGCAGAGGTATTTCATGTCCTTCCGGACCAGAAAACTCACTCCTTTATGGGAACGTCTTCACCTCCTGCCTTCCCCACCAAAGATGAGAATAACGGCTCTGAGGAGCTGTCAGCCTTCCTGTCCCCCTCTCACTTTCATTCTTCTTATCATTTCCTTTCTTTTCCTTTCTCTCTGAAAGGCTTTCTTTTCCTCCCCCTTTTTTTTTTCATTTTCTGTTTCCCCGAGAGCTGCTGCTTCTCTCTCTTCTGACCATTCTTACTCCTCTGCCCCTCCCCTTTTCATCCTGTTTTATAAGTTTCTATCCTTTGAATGGTTATATTACAAATTTGAAATTTAATTTGTAGATTGTCTTACAGTAATTAAACTTTATATACATTTTTCTAAAATGCTAATGGGCGAATTAAAAGTTCTCTTTTGCCTCACTCTAAACAAAAGTGGTAAAACACATGTAACTTTTTATTCATTTGTAATCCACTGTTGAAATGTCTTAGACCCATTAGTTCTGATTTTTTTTTTTTAAAGATTTTATTGGGGAATTGGGGGAGGGGAACAGCGTTGGAGAATTGGGGGAAGGGGAACAGACAAGTTGCTGTGGTTTTGTTCTTCAGCCTAGTTGTGGAGGATATTGCTTTACTGGCCCAAGTTGGCACCATCATTGCACTCTTCCGGGCAAGGCAGATCAGTCGCTGGCTTCTGGACGGCTGCTCACAGCGGCTACTGGCCGCTCACGCTGGCTGCTGGCTACACACGGTAGCTTATGGCAACCCACTGCAGCAGGGGCTGCAGCCTACGCCGTCGCCAGCGACCCACGGCAGCCCAGTCCCAGGTTGAGCTGCTGTTCACCATCTTAGCTGCAGAGGGCAGTGTCACTGGCCCTCATATGTGGGATCCGAACCGGGGCTCTCTGGCATCCCAAGCCAGTTCTTAATGAACACACCACTCAGCCGGCCCCCATTAGCTCTGATTTAAAAAACAAAAAGTTTCTTATAACTTACTCTTAAAGCTTTACATTTAAATATTTAATACACTATACAGACTTTGAACTTAACCTTTCATAATTTTGATGCTGTCATCCTGGGCTAAATCTCCTTGAAGGAGAAACATGTCCTAGGAATGCACATCTGTGCCCATATTTCAATACAGTGCTTAGTGTTACTTAGCTGTTACAGCTGGGCAGTAAAGTTCCCAAGGAAAAAACAGGAAGCTGTTCACACATTCCTTTTCCCTTGGGCAGATTCCTCAACGCTGACTTCACTTCTCAAGAGCAGACAGCTTCTTCGTGGTGACTTTGGTGAAGCAAACCCTCGTCTTCGAGAACCCCGAGATCTCTTTGCCTTTTTCTCTGGGAGTGGGCCACTGCAGGCTCCACAATGGCCAGTAGAATGTGAGGTCATCAAGGAAAACGTTCATCATATTGGTAATGTGACTCAGTGTCATGGTCTTGCTGTTCCGACAGACTTTGCTAGGACACCTCACAGTCCTGCATGCGGAATACAAGGCAGGACAGATGAAACATCTGTTAGCTCACCCCAAAGGGATCAAGCTCTGGGAAACTGGTATACACTCCCCAAAGTCAGAAGTTACACTAATGTGTAAACGAGAATGTTCCTGAGCTCATGGCACTGGAAGGATACCTTGCTAGAGGCCAAAATATATTAATACTTAGATCTGTTTTCTAGATTAGTCCCATCTCAGGATCAGTATGCTTGGTTGAGTTTTGTAAAAGTTGTACTTTACCAGCCTTGGTATAATTAATGAACGTTATATATGCCAGAGCATAGTTTTTACTGTTTTAAATCATATTTTGAGTTTATTGGAGTGTTTTATAGGAGTGGTGGAGGCTTTTTTATGACATTGCTGGTGATATCTTTGAGCTACGGGTGCAGGTACAATCTTTAGCATTCATTTTATGAAGCATTTTCAGAAGTGGGTTCCATTGAAAAGTGGGGACTTTTCTAATTGCTGGAACACTTACATCTACAAAACATTATGTCTGCTTTAGACTGCTGGATAAACAACGGGATGTTTCTTATTTTCTCACTTCCCTCTTATAATATTCATTCAGTAAATATCTATTAAGCATCTACCATATGCTAAGTACAGTGCTTGGTGTTAGAGAAATAGTGATGAACAAGATGGAGACATCTGTAGCTCAGAGACTAGTGGGGAAGTTAAAGATATAACCAGGCAGTTGCATAGAGCTTGGTCCCTTTGGGAACACTTAACCCCAGCCTAGAAGATCAGTGAGGGTTTCCAAGAGGAGTTGACATGCAAGCTGAGATCTGAAGGATGAGTTAGAAGTGATCCAATTGAGAGGGTAGGAGAAAAGAATTACAGTTAGAGTAAACAGAAAAAGAACATGGCGTATTTGGACAACCATGGAGCATGGAGCATGAAAGACAAGCGATGAAGCTGAAAGTGAAGAGGTGGGCTCAGTGTCTTACCTGGGGACAGAACTGCTGTTTGGGTGTTTGGAAATATGCGTGCTGGTGGAGGAGTATTTTGAGTTGGCACAATAGCTGAGAAGCCTTAAGGTCATCTGTCCCTTCCCTGTAACATTTTTAGATAAAAGTCCAAGTTGATCTGGCCAGACAATGGGATTTTGCTGTTCTCTTTATAAAATAGACTAAGACAGAGAATTCCTGTGAGGATTTTGGACTCAATTCCAACAGGGGAAAAAAATAGTGGGAAACTAAAATATAATGTCCAAGTTATTGTGGTGGTAATCCACTAAACCACTAAATCTTTAAAAAAGCAATTTGTAATATATTTCAAGGAAATTTAATAGCAAGCGCCTTACTGTTTAAACCAAATTGTCAAAGCCTTATCACTCCCGAGTTGTGTCTTTACATGCCCTTGGCTTTCATCAGTGGCTTCTGTACTTAAAATGATATTGAGAAGTCGCCCAAGTTCTATACGAGAAATCTTGTAGAATTGAGTGTTCATGAAAAAGGCCTTATTTGCTCTGAAACACTCGATGTCCTTGTTCCTCTCTGGTATTAAAAGGTATGTAGCTGATCCTATTTTCCTGATTTTAAAAGGAAGCGCGGTACAGAATTTTGAAGAGTTGTTGCAGCAACTGTATTGACCTTTCCAGCTTATTTATTTATTTATTTTTAAAGATTTTATTGGGGACTTGAGGGAGGGAACAGACAAGTTGCTGTCCTTTGGTTCTTCAGTCTAGTTGTAGAGGACATCGCTTCATTGGCCCATGTTCGTACTGTGATCATTGCGCTCTTCCCGGCTGAGGCAGATCGGTCACCAGTCATCAGTCAGCCGCTTACAGCAGCTCATGGCAGCTCACACCAGCTGCCGCTCACGCTGGCTGCCGGCCACTCACGGTAGCTCACGGTAGCTCACGGCAGCCCACTGCAGCCCCGCTGCAGCCTACACTGTCGCTGGTGACTCACGGCAGCCCAGCTCCAAGTCGAGCTGTTGCTCACTATCTTAGCTGTAGAGGGCGCAGCGTCACTGGCCCTCATGTGGGATCTGAACCGGTGCCCTGCTGCTCAGAGCTGGCATCCCAAACCAACTTCTAACCAACGCACCACTCGGCCAGCCCTCCAGCTTATTTTTAAGTCTTCTATTTAAAGTTGATGCTTTTGTCATATATGCTTTTTGTTAAAATTCTCCCCATAGCCTTTATGGAAAGAAGCAAGACCTATTTTTTTAAACAAACTGGAAACTTAGGGTGGGGATTAGGTTTGATTCAACAAAACAAGCCATATGAATAATGATTACTATAACTTGATATCAACTCTGATAAAGTGCCTTTTATATTTCTTATTTTGTACTTTTTAAATGTCTTTTTTCAGAGGGCGTTCCACCTCAGCCAGAATATTTCTATCAACCTACAGGAAATGAAAAGATTCCGGAAATTGTAGGAGAGGAAAAAGGCACAATTGTCTATCAGTTAGATTCAGGTATTGTCATTACACTGAACAGTGAGTAATTAATCTTATGACAAAGTTATAGTAAATAATTATGACAAGGTTATGAATATTTTCTATAATAAACATGATTTTAAAAATCCATAGTTTAGTGAAAAATTGTCTTTTCCAGACCAACCTGAATGGGAGTCCTGATATTCATGACCAATCAGCTTTAAAATTTCAATCTTTTAAAAAAATGACAGTACTCTTTTTTCTTTTTTTTTTTTTTAAGATTTTATTGAGGAATTGGAGGGGAACAGCGTTGGGGAATCAGGGAAGGAGAACAGACAGGTAGACAAACTGCTGTTTTGTTCTCCAGTCTAGTTGTGGAGGACATTGCTTCACTGGCCCATGTTGGTATTATCATTGAGCTCTTCCCAGGTGAGGCAATCAGTCACTGGTCATTGGTCGGCCATTCACGGCGGCTCCCAGCAGCTCACACCGGCTGCTGGCCGCTCATGCTGGCTGCCAGCCACTTACGGTAGCTCACGGCAGCCCACTGCAGCAGGGGCTGCAGCCTACACCGTCGCCAGCAACACAGTAGCCCAGCTCCAGGTCGAGCTGTTGTTCACCATCTTAGCTGTAGAGGGCACAGAGTCACTGGCCCTTAATGTGGGATCCGAACCACGGCCCTGCTGCTCAGAGCTGTTGCTCCCAAGCAAGCTCTTAACCAACTGAGCCACTTGGCTGGCCCAACAGTGCTCTTTTCTTAATAGCTCTAAGTCCATTTTATAGCTTCTCCCTTGTTACTCCTCTTCCTGAAATGCAGATATTGGGTCTTTGGGGAACTTGCTCTTCTTCACTCCACCTCCTGTGTATACTTTAGTGAGTCCTTGATAGTGTGCATATGACTGTCACTTACTGTGTGGAGGACATTGCTTCACTG